ATTAAGAAAGAATAAAGAAAGAAAAGAACGAAACATAAGAAAGAAAAGGAAAGGATATTCAAGGACCCTATGAAAGGGTGCAAGAAAAAAATAGAAAGAAAGAATGAAAGAAAAGAAAAGAAAGAACTAAAACGAGAAGAAAGAAAACGAAAGAAAAGAAAAGTAAATATAAGGAAAAAAAAAAGGAATGAAAAGAACGAATCATAAGAAAGAAAAGGAAAGAATACTCAAGGACACCTATAAAAAGTTATAAGAATGAAATGGAAAAAATGAGAAGAAGGAATTATAAGAAAGGAAATAATTATATGGAAGGAAGGATAAAGAAAGAAAGATAAGAACAGAAAATATAAGAAAGAAAAAGGAAAGAAAAGAATGAAACATAAGAAAGAAAAGGAAAGGATATTCAAGAACACCAATGAAAGGTGTGAGAAAAAATAGAATGAAAGAAAAGTAAAGAAAGAACTAAAATCAAAAGAAGGAAAATGAAAGAAAAGAAAAGTAAATATAAGAAAGAAAAAGGAATGAAAAGAACAAATTATAAGAAAGAAAAAGAAAGGTTATTCAAAGCAACCTAAGAAATGGTAAAAAGAAAGAAAAGGACAAGAAAGAATCAGGATATGAAAGAAATGATAAGATAAAATAAAATGAGATATGTATGAAAAAGCATAAGAAATGAAAAGGAAAGAAAAGAAATAAAGTAAATACAAGAAAAATCAATGTTACATAGGAAACAAAGAAAAAGAAGAAAGATAAGGAAATATTACAAAGGTAATTTAAGCTAAAGAAGCAATGCATAAGGAGGCATTAGAAAGAAAGGGGAAAGGAAAGAAAAGGTAATTAGAAGGAAAAGGGAGACTAAAGAAAGAAAAGGTAGGTAAATAGGAATCAAAAGGAGTCAGCTAACATATTTTTCCTCTCTATGGACCTTCTTTTGTTTGGCACTGTTGAAGCTTGTCACTACTGTGGTAGTCAATGACAGCCACTTGTTCTATTGATTCAGAACGGTTAAGAACTTTATTATTATTATTATTTAATATTAGAGCCGCCACTGCCTGCAGTAGCTAAGGCGCATGCTGCCTGTTTTGCCATTAAATTTGTTAAGATTTCAATGCATCAATGTTATGTGCTAATCACTAAAGTCTATTCTGAAACTGTTGTACCTCCCCCCACGATGTGTATCCCCCCCCCTTTGAAAATTCTTGATCTGCCCCTGTATTCATAGGTTCATATACCATAAATGCTCGAATAAGCGCTGAGGCACTTATTCAATATATGGTGGATTTAGTAGGGCGCTTATTCGAGAGCTGAGCTAATAAATAAAAAATATTTCCTATGTTACCTATCTCGCGTATCGGTAGACCTATCATAGGTCCTGTTCATCGTAAATAAAAGTATAAAGAAATGCTTGTGTCTTCATTGATTCATTTTAACAAGTTGTATATTGTACAGTAAAACAATGTTTCAGTGTTTCATTATTACACACAGGGTAATACTCTCGATTAAGCGCCTAGCAAAAATATGCAAGTTTGGTACGGCGCTTATTCAAGAGCGTAGCTTATTCGAGAACATACGGTACTTCGACACCAGTAATTTTTTACATTAAAAGAAAAGTACTTCCTTTTTGTTTATTGATGCAAAAATTGTTAAAAACAGATAAGAAATGGAAAAGATTTTACTTTCATTTTTACAACAAGCACCTGGTTTTTGCCAGTCAGTTTAAAGTAAAGAATAGAAAGTACCTGTACAAAGTACAAGTAACTGAAAGTACAGTAGGTATCCTGCTAAAAGTTTTTGTGATTCAATTTATCCTAGAAGACTAAACCCCCACACTGTGCTTTAATTGTTAATTTACTTGTTTGTTTTAAATTATAATGTCAATAAATACTGTGTTGTCATTTGCAGGCAAAATCTAAACTCTTTGAACAGTTCCTGATCAGTATGAAATCTTCAGTGTATATTGTGAAAGAAAATGAATTTGTCAATTCTCTGATTCCTGAACTATTAAACCAGTTCAATGAAGGTAATTTTTATACAAATTTGCAGTATATTATATTATATACTTGTAATTTGTAATTAAATTATATTTTTGAATATAATTTCAAAACTGGGGTAAAAGGGGCATAACCACCCTTTTTTCCGCCTTTTTCCCCAGTTTAAAAAAATAAAAAATCTGTATCTCATTATCGTTTCTGCATTTTTTTTTTACCGAACACCCTTTTAAAGTTTTAGAAAAATCAGGTGTACAACATATCACTTTTTTTCTACTCTGGAACATTGAGTGGCCTAGGGCCTTGAGGGTTACTAATCCTTCAAGGCCCTAGGCCACTCCATATAAGGAGGTAAGTTGTTAAAGAAAATGGTTGACATGAAATTTAAAATTAATAAAATGAAAGGGAATTAAAAACAATCAGCTGGCAATGAGTTCCTGAATTGGAAAAAGTTTCTAAAGTTTCTGGATTGCGGAAGTGAAAGAATCGGAACAAATAAACTGACACATGAAAGCAAATTTGTGGTTGCTGGAAAAATTTACCAACTGATGGCATAATCTGTAATATTTCATCAGAGCAATGAATTAACACAAAAAAACATATGACAAATTTTAACATGAGAACTGACACGAACATGAAGAGGATAAATGGGTCAATCCCACCATCATATGATATTTAGTATTTTCATTAATTTATTTTCTTGATATCATGATGATTCAAAAACAACGTGATTGAAATTAAACTGTATTCTAGAATTGCTGTAAAAACAATCTGATTGGTTTGCTAATTAGAAATACAGGACTCCCTCTAATTAATTGAAGACCACTTTTGGTTTGGCAGATTTTGTTTTATTGCCGCAAGTGCCATAAAATATGCAAAAACACAAAAAAAATAACAATAAACAAAAACAATACAATGGTAATGTATCTACATGCATCATGGGGTAGGGTTGTCACTCCACTAATTCTGAATGTCCCCCCACCCTAAACGGAACTACATTATGGGGTAGGTGATAAGATGTTAAGGACATTGTAAATTTGGAAGCATAGAACAGTGGTCTTTAATTGGAGGTAGTCTATAATTAGAGGGAAACTGGGCTTAAACCCTTCCAATACAGGTCTCAGACCTGTATTGAAATGTGGTTTTAGCCCAAATGATTAAATATCTATAACTATACTTGAGTCTGCGAACAACATATTATTAGGCTTATTAACTTCTGTAGCAATAGGCAGTAGAAAAAAAAAGTACCATAATCCTAACCCGTGCATTTTAATCACTTCCTATTTCTTTCCAAGTACCGGAACTTTGGATTGTGTTAAGCAATATTTGTATGTGAATATAGGTTCTTATAAAATTCTCTCCAAAAGTAATTTTTTTACTACTATGGGCCTGTTTCTACTGACAAAAAAGAACAGTTCATTTTTTACAATGGTTTTTTGGTGGCAGTAGAAACAGGGCCACAAAAATGAGCTGTTCTTATGGCATTCTCAACACAGTCAATGAAAATATTCTTGTTTGTATAAGCAAGAACAAAACTTTAACCTTTGTTTTAATACCAGTATTTGAATACCAACATGAGTTTCTGATGGTAGGAATCATCATTGTTTGTTTGGATCTTGGTAGTTGCGCAAAAATATTACAAACAACATTAAAGATCATTGCCATTATTTTAAATTGCATTTTGTCTAATTTTTACATCATGCGTGTAGAGTATCAGACTGGTATCAAATATGCAACCATTTCATGTGGAGTCAGTTTTGTGAAACGGTTCTTATCTTGGTAATCCAATAATCAACTAATGATGAGAGAACTTTATCTTAATAATAATATAATAATAAATACTTTATTTTAACACAGAAAACTTGATTCACCCAATGGTGTTTTTCCAAGTATGTGCAAGGCCATATAAATAAAAGTGTAGCCTACTGTAATATAGTATAAAATGTAGAAAATACAAACACAATGTAGTAATTAAATATCAAAAACAGAAGGTAAAAGGAAAACATTACATTATCCTATTACAAATCATACAGTACAAGGTGAGTAAACTGTAAAATTTGTATAATTAAGATAAATATTTAAACTTTTTGAATTTTACATGTAATACATAATCATAGCCTAGGACTGGACTCGAATGATGTTCGTTTATTCAAAGAAGACCAGCCTAGGCTTCCTTGGCCTAATAAGTCCTTTTTTTTTATTCTACCAACACACAATTTTTACTGGTTGGTCAGTTAATTTTATGTACTTGTAAAGTTGACGCCGTGGCTAAACGGCTTCGGGAGAACACTGAAGAATAAGATTGATTTTGATTTTCAGTAGCTAAACACACGCTAAAATCAGACACAGCAGCTATCTAACTCCGCTTTGCGGATTTCTGGCGGCATTATGAACTGATCGTCATTAAAAAAAACGATCCATTGTGCGCACGCCGTCGCCAACCGTCAGGCTCAGTGAGTACCAGACTTAGAAAGATAATTTCCATTGTAATACTATAGTATGTGATTAGCAATCAAACATCGAATTATATAAAAGTGTTTTTTCACTCTGTCTCTCTTTTCAGATTTAGATTTTATAGCATTGATAGGATGTGTAGATTTCGAGGGGCTGGAGAATCTGAACGTTAAACTATTTGATAACCTATCGCAATACCTGATACACATTTACCGAGAGCTCAAACTTCACAAGAATGCACGGCAGACCATTTATGGCGAAGAGGACCAATTGTTAGCTACACAACTTTGTATGGCCAGCTACAACAGAGAGGTATTTTTTTGTTCATTTCATTTCATATAAATCATTAGTACATGTTTAACTGGTCAGTCCCCCATGTTTGTTTCAGCAAATACTAATAATAATAAAAATAATAAAGATTTGTTACTAATATTTTATTTAAATATTTTAAAGAAATAATTCTAAACATTTTCATACTTTTTTTTGTCTTGGTAATACAGGCCTGATATTACCATCAATATTGATGAGAGGTGGCCACATAACAAACCTTGACACACTCGCACCTAGGGCTGAAACATAGAATGAGCCACTTATTACAACCACTTTCTGATATTATTTGGCTATCTTGTAACCTGATCGTGGCCTGGCCACTTTAGGCCACCGTTTATTATTAAGAATATCTGTCACCACTTTTCAAATAATTGCAGAAATATGACTCGTACGATGTTGCAACCAGCGAAGTCCTTGCAACATCAAATCGCCTCTCCAGAGATGCAATTGATATGAAGAATTCAACCGCTTCTGATGTATCTGCATCTTCTAAAGAAGAGCATACAGAGATTGCAAGATGTTATCAGGAATTCCTGAAAACATGTAACAGTACTGATCTTGCTGCAGTGTTCCTCGATGTAAAATCTGAGCTTTTAAAATCTGAAGAAACAGCAGCAAAATACTGCAATAATTCAAAAAGTGTAGTTCTTGAGTGGCCAAGAAATATAGTGGAGGTATGAATTATTAGAATTATTCTAATTATGTAACTGTAAGACATTAAGAAACAACTTCAAAGAAGTGGAGTTGAGTATTAATGCATTAGCGTATCTAAACGTCTTGAAATGGGGAGGCTGATGGGGGAGTGCGAAGGTCATGAGGGGGTGGGAGGCTCAGTGATTATGTGAGAGGCACTAGACCAAAAGATATTGTCATTTTTGGTGATTTTAAATAACTACTTGAGTGTTACTTTTGGTAGGACAATTTAGGGGGTGGGGGAGAGTATTTTTTGGACGGCCGTGTTCCCCGTGCAGCCCCCTAGATACAACACTGGTGAAATGTACTAGTGGTTCAGGGTGTCTGCCTTTTAATACCAATGTCTTAGGTTCAATTCCTGTGAATGCAGATTTTCTCACTCACAAAAAAAAAAAAAAAAAAAAAAACTCCACCTAATCCTGTAATTAACGAGTGAAAAATAAAAACAAGCAAGCCATTGTGATACTTTTTTTTTTTGGCATGAACACCTCATTGTTTATTTAAAAAGAAAACAAAGCAACATGAAAAACTGGTACTAATAGGATGCATGTTCAAATTTTCATGATCAATTTAATCACAAGTGGTTTCATTTTTTGGTATTTGTATAATATTGTTTAGACTATAAACTAATTCATCTATGCTCTGAACTGTGAGACAGAGAAGAGTTTGTGCGAACACTGTTGATATAATACGACTTGCATTCACACAGACCTCATTTTTTCCCTTCTTCTTTGTTTTCTTTTTTTTATTATTTTCTTTAACTTCTCCTTTTTTTTTCATATTCTTCTTTTTCCTTCTTTATGTTTGTTAATTGTTGTTTCATAATATCCACCAAGATTTTTGTAATGTTTTTTGTGTGGTTTTTTTTTTTTTTTTTTTTTTTTTTTTTTTTTTTTTTTTTTTTTTTTTTTTTTTTTTTTTTTTTTTTTTTTTTTTTTTTGTTTTTTTTTGTTTTTTTTTTTTAAGAAATATAGTGGAGGTATGAATTATTAGAATTATTCTAATTATGTAACTGTAAGACATTAAGAAACAACTTCAAAGAAGTGGAGTTGAGTATTAATGCATTAGCGTATCTAAACGTCTTGAAATGGGGAGGCTGATGGGGGAGTGCAAAGGTCATGAGGGGGTGGGAGGCTCAGTGATTATGTGAGAGGCACTAGACCGAAAGATATTGTCATTTTTGGTGATTTTAAATAACTACTTGAGTGTTACTTTTGGTAGGACAATTTAGGGGGGGGGGGAGAGTATTTTTTGGACGGCCGTGTTCCCTGTGCAGCCCCCTAGATACAACACTGGTGAAATGTACTAGTGGTTCAGGTGTCTGCCTTTTAATACCAATGTCTTAGGTTCAATTCCTGTGAATGCAGGACTTTTTCTCACTCACAAAAAAAAAAAACAAAAAAAACTCCACCTAATCCTGTAATTAACGAGTGAAAACTAAAAACAAGCAAGCCATTGTGATACTTTTTTTTTTTTTGGCATGAACACCTCATTGTTTATTTAAAAAGAAAACAAAGCAACATGAAAAACTGGTACTAATAGGATGCATGTTCAAATTTTCATGATCAATTTAAATCACAAGTGGTTTCATTTTTTGATATTTGTATAATATTGTTTAGACTAAAACTAATTCATCTATGCTCTGATCTGTGAGACAGAGAAGAGTTTGTGCGAACACTGTTGATATAATACGACTTGCATTCACACAGACCTCATTTTTTCCCTTCTTTTTCTTTGTTTTCTTCTTTTTATTATTTTCTTTAACTTCTCCTTTTTTTTCATATTCTTCTTTTTCCTTCTTTATGTTTGTAAATTGTTGTTTCATAATATCCACCAAGATTTTTGTAATGTTTTTTGTGTGGTTTTTAATTTTTTTTTATTTATTTTTTTTTTGTGAAGAGCATAGAAGCATAGCATTATGTGCTATATAAGTTGAAATTATTAATATTATTGAATGATTCAGTGGCTTCTTTGTTTTAATTACTATTGCATTTTTTTAAAGGAAAGGGGGTGGGTGCTAGCTTGGCTGAGAACCGTACATTACATTGTTCAAGTAAATGACAAACTAAAATTAAGCATTAAAGATGTATTGTTCCATTCAAAATACCAAAAAAAAAAAAAATCATAATCATTTTTGAAATTAACTTGCCCATTTTGAAGTAACATAAAAATTATCAACTTGAACATAGAAATTAGTGTATTTAAAAAATGTTTTACCCGTCATTTTACAGTGAAAATGATAGAGACACTTCCAATCACTGGAAGTGTTTTATTATTTTCATTATCCAGTTTAAAAGCATTTTTGACATTTTCAAGAGACAAAACATATTTAACAAGCATGCTAGATCCTGGCAAAAATGTATAAAGTATGTTCTCATAATTAAAACAAATATGAACTCCACAGCACTCCTCAAGTCTCATAGATACCATGATAGAGCATTAATTTCTGTGAAATTTGCTATTTGCTTTCAACCACTAATTTACTAACACCCACATGAAGTGTCCCCACCTACAACCCAGGATTTAATTAAAGGCATGCGTCACATGAAAATAAAGTCCAACACAATATGGTACCATTTCCAACCAGGATATAGTGTAGTCAAATATTTTGAAAAGGTCTAAATCTCAAAACAGGAACTATGTTCAACAGCTGATTATTTACCTTGTTAAAATCCTGTTACATTTTAATAAACGATACAATTTACTCAGTCTGTGTCCTAGCATGTGGACTTACGTTTACCACCACCATCTGCTAATTATCCTGTATGTGGTTATTTTTTTTATTTGTTCATTTTTCATGAATGGCCATACACATTATGATCGGCAATTATGATGACTTTACTTATTAAAAAATCATGTGTTGTATTCAGCTGAGTGTGATGAAAACCTATTGTTATTACTAGCAAAGGCTTAATAATAATAATAATTATACTGAATGCATGATTTGGAATGATAATAGTTTTTATTAGTAATGTACTGTAATGATGGTAATTGTATAGAACCATGATAGTTACAGTAATATAATAACAATAATTGGAAAGAAAGCCTGACCAGCCCAAAATCTTAAAAAAAAAGATGTTAGTTACAGGTATTTACATTACATTGTTGTAATTATACAAGTAAATACCTCAAGGTGCAATTAGTAATGAATGATAATACCATGTGCTAATAATTGGGTCTAGGCTGGTTTCCCCCTGGACATGTTGCCCCCCTGGACATTCTCCCCCGGATATGTTTCCCCCTGGACATTCTGCCCCCAGACAGTTTCCCCCGGTATTTTTCCCCCTGGACATTTGCTCCCCGGACTTTTGCCCACCCCAGGACAATTTTCCCCTTCCCCCTAGGTCAATTGTCCCCCATGCATTATATTTTCTCTCAATTATACTGTACATGTTCCCAATACATTTTATTTTTTTAATTTTTCATAATTTTAAGTAGGTAGATAGTTATTCATATGATATTTAGTTCACTCAATAAGACTGAAGGCCAATTTAAAATAGTATTTTAACTATGCATTAACAAATTAAATAACTTCAATTCAAGAAATATGTGAAGGTCTACATTATCTCTTTTATTATCCTTTATTCAATTTGACAACTTTGTATAAAGATTTATAAAATGTAAAATTATAAAGGGAACATGTACTGTTCTCTTTATAATGGAAGCAAGACAATAGAATTTAAAAGCTATAGCTACAATAGCATTTATTAAAGATTAATGAGACAAAACATTGTTTATTTCAAATACTATTATACAAATTGATTTTCACTCTTGGTATCTTATTGAATGAACTTATTTGTGTACTGCATCATCTTAATCTACACACGGTTTACACTGATTATTCTGTCAATCAACGTTTTTATAATATAGAGGTATCTTAGATGTTTTTTTTACTGCGATCAAGTCAATACCTATATAATTCTTACAAAATAATTATTTAAAATAGGCGTACTATTACGAATTGCCTTCAGTCTCATTGAATGAACTAAATATCATATGAATAACTAAACCTCTAAAATTATGAAAAATAAAACATTAAAATGTGTTGGGAACATGTACAGTATAATTGAATTGAGAAAATATAATACATAGGGGGAAACTGTCCGGGGGGCTAATGTCCAGGGGAAAAATACCGGGAGAAAATGTCCAGGGGGAAACCAGCCTGCTCCCGGTAGCCTAATTGTAGACCTAAATCTTAAAACTTAACGACGTGAATGGTATATGTAAATTTCAAATCATACAGCGTTGGAAGTGGAAAAAAAAATAATTAAAAAAAAATACAAAGAAATTGAGAACATATCTAATAAGCGTATAATACTGTATTAATTGGCAGGTAAAATGTGAAATTTCCAGCTCTTTATAATGGAAGCAAGACAATAGAATTTAAAAGCTATAGCTACAATAGCATTTATTGAAGATTAATGAGACAAAACATTGAGCAAATGTCCAGGGGAAACTGTCCGGGGGGCCAAATGTCCAGGGGAAACTGTCTGGGGTAAACCAGCCTGCTCCCGCTAATAATTGTGATGTAAGAATAGTACGTGACAATAGTAGTATTAAGGTCAGACAATTTTTATTCCTTGTTTTTCGCGTGCTTAATTTTTTTTTAATTATTGGAGGAAGGCAGAATAAAATTAAGAATAAAATTTTGTTTTCTTCTTAATATTTAGCAAATAGTTTTGCCAAAATCATCCAGATGGAGAAAATAATAAAAAATAATAAAAATTTATTGGTGAATATAAAATAGGGAGATGCTTCAAATTTATATAATTAGGAAGAAATATACAGTACATATCTTATCGTTGGATATTTCAAGGCAGCGGAGGGCATAATAAAAATAAAGAAACAATTTTATTTTTTTCTGAAATTTCCACTTTTTCTTAGCGGCGGGTGCACTAATTGGCCAAAAATAAAATGTTAAAATTATTTTAAATCATCAATATTTGCAATCGGCGGGTTTCGCTAAACAAGGTATAAAAAATGATAGTATATGTCTCTAATAATGATTGGCCAAAAGTAAAGCCTGACCAACCGAAAATCTTTAAAAAATGTTTTTATACGAAAATGAAATAAGAATCATAGTGCCATTTACTCATACATAAAGTATTAGATAATGAGATTGAACCCCCAGTTTTATATTCTGAACCAAAAACCATTCCACCAATTGCTTCCTTTATTTGTCTTTGCAGGCCTCATTTTTATCCTTACTTTGCCATACAACCGGTCGCTATTTTCACACAACTGCTGAAATTCCTGTTGGCATAGACATATCTCAACTATCAACTGAACTTATAGTCATTCACACCGAAGAGGTCGTCTTACCTTCTTGCGAAGACATGCTTGTCAAGTGGTCACCCAGCAGTTGTTCAACATCAAGCCTTCGTAAACCAACAACTGATAATTCTTTATCTGGAACAGAGGTAATTCTTGATTATAGTAAAACAAAACATGATTTTGTGGAAGATGGGTTAGTTTCTGTGAGGTTTTTACATTCTTGTTGGAGTGTGGAGACACAGCTGATTTCCGGGATACTGGAACTTGCAGGAGATGCGGGAATCCTGCCTAGTGATATAAATATTGTTTAAGGCAAGACTTCTATATACCTTGTTTAGCAAACCCACTGCTCGCCAATAATGATGATTTCAAATAAAAAATATACGCTTGCAACAAATCATCACAAATTCTCTTTTTGCTTATCAGTTTGGTACTTTGTCTTTTTTCCAGGTCTACTTCAAACGGGTGTTCCTTTCTTACTTAACATTAGTCATTAATACCCGCGATGAACTTGCACTAGCCAGATGCTTCAATGTACCGGATCGGGAACTCGATCACGAGGCGTTTACCGCCCTCAAACATGAAGCTAGTCAAAAGAACATGCCTATGTGCCAGGTATGTCATTTGTTATTATCTTGATAAAACTTTCAACTCTTACTGTATTTTATAAGCTTCAGATTGCAAAATTTGTGAGCTACTGGGTTCTGAGCAGCGATGTTAAGTAATGGAATATGATGATCATTATCCTTTTTTATAGTTTGTTTTCTGTTTCATATCTCTACAGACTGCAACGTCATATGTAATGAGGATACGGATTGGTGGGAAGGGGCATATCCCCGATATGTCATGTCAGATTTCTCAATATGTTAGGGGCTTAAGTGAATTTGTAAACCTGATCCTGAAACTCCAAGTCATACTAGAGGAAGAAGAGAATCCCCGGTAAATAATGTTGTTTTTGTTTTTATTATCATTATTGTTTATTATTATCATTACTGATGTAATTATCTTTATAACAGTAGCGTATATTTAGCATATAAAGCCAATATAAAGAACATTAGAATAAACAGGTTATTCCATTTCCTTATAGTTCTGGATTGTTACGTCTACTCAATCAGATCAAGGTAACTTTTCTAAAGTCAAAACATATCGGTTTCAAAAAAGACAACATAGAGAAAGTTGTCCGGTATTTGAAGTTATCCGTTGGGAAACTAAGCGCCGAAGACAATGGGAAAACCCCTGCGAAGGTATGTTTTGTTAAAAATCATTGAAGTATGTTTAAAATGATAGCGTATTTAATATATTGTTAGCCTTCAAAATACTATTAAGCACTCATCTTTTATTTACAAACTTTCAAAATAAAAATCGAAACGTCAGGACATTCTCAATTTTTAGAACCGTCTATGTGGTGTACCGCAAGATTTTAACACATTGACTGTCAAGCATTTTTTTCCTAGTTTCCTCCCAGACGCCAAGGCATAAAGGGCGCCAGCATAATGAAAATCTTTCCCATCGACTAATAAAACATGAACAACATACAGTATTTATTTTTAGGTCGTTACTTCTGGGTATTTCACTGAACCTCCAGGGTAAGAGTTCAGGCGACTATTCCCGGCGAGTTTACATGCAGTACAATTAGTGATATGATGGACAGGTGTGGACATAAACTGACATCCTGTCAGACGTGATCTCGCATCCATATGGCCGAAAACGTGTTAAATATACTTTTCAAATGTTCTTACTCATTTTTAGAGTGTTGGAAATGGTGGTAGCATGGCTGGAGAAAAGACTATCAAGTTGTTGAGAAGGCTGCTGGATCAAGAGGCTAGTCATGTGGCGCCCCGTAGGCCTGTTGATGTTTTATGTGATGGTCTGGCAAGTCAAGGCACACCTGTTAGACTACCCTCACTTCTGTCCATGTTCAGGTACTGTAGATAAACCACCTTGAATATAATGCCCCTGCTTTTAGCTCACTTTAATTTGAAAATAAGAATACTTACTTTATTTATTTTTATATAATGCTTTCTACAGAACACACTTCTATATGTTTTTGGATTTTTTACTTTTTTTTTTTTCATCGTAAGGCCACACTTCTATATGTTTTTGGATTTTTTACTTATTTTTTTTCATCGTAAGGCCATGCTGATCATTCCTGGACCCATAATGCTTGATTTTGAAGTCATATTAAAAATACATTAATAAAATTCCACAAAACGTTTTTTTTTTAATATTGTGAAAGTACTCTCTTCGTATGTTGTAGATCACCGGCTATTCCAAGCCCAGATTCACCAGAGAACCAATCTCTTGTGGACAGACTGCTTCAGAAAGAAAATGATCAACAGGTATTTTCCTTTATTATATTTTTATCGATGGGGAAAAGCAACAACAACAATAAAACAACAATATAACACAACAACAATAACATAACAACAACAATAACAATACCATCATGTATTATCTGGTGGGAAAGCAACAAGTCACTTTCCTAAATTAACATGTTATTAAAGCAAATTACACACAATGCTTTCCGCCCAATGTTATTCTAAGGATAATTATGTAACATAAACAAGTGGTACCACAATCATTTAATATATAAACAAGATCAGTTTACAAAGTATTGGCCTATAATCTCTGCACACAAAACTTTGTTGTAATAAATATTGACAAGATTATCACATGAAAATACAGTGCATTTGTCAAAATAGAAGCTTCGGCCCCTCCCTCACCCACCCACTTTATATGGCATTATTAAATTTTTCTGATTAGCCTCAATAGGCCTATAATAATATGGGATATTGAGCAATAATATCTGCCCTATATTATTTAATTTTTTTAATATAAATGGAAATAATAGTTGTACATAAAATATGCCCACTTTCTTCTTTGTCCTAAATTTAATTTAAATTTAATGCTAAATTTACAAACCTTTATCTGTGGAATTTTTTGGAATAAAGGAATATGAAATTTCACGTTTAAAACCGATACCTGACTAAAAAAACACCAAAGTCAGTTCCATTAAAGTACATATTTATTCAAGAGTGAGACCAATAGACTAAAACAATATTTAGGTTGAAGGAGAGCTTCATGGAATTCAAATTAATTTTCATGGATAAATATATTCCTTTTGTGAAATTTAATTGTACAATAATGGAGTAGGATTATTTTTTTAACTCTTAAAATTCTTATTGTTTTGTTGCCATTCATTCACATTCATAAAAAAAACAATCCATTGGGTTGTCGGGCAGGACTCCAAGAGTGAACCTATTCCACTATACATTAAACATGAAGACTTCAACCACCAAATTTTACAAACAAAATTACCATTAAAACATAAATATAATTCATTATATTGGTAAACTGCTTTTATATTTTGGATAAAGTTACGTTATTTTGCCTTGGAACAGCCGTGGTGTTTTAAAGTTTTTCTCAATTTACATAGTATTTATAGTATATTTATAAGCATTTATGTATTTGCAACAGTGATAGTTAAATTGAGTTGAGTTCAAACACTTTACTTTTGTCTGAGATTTAAATGAATTTCTGATATTTTCAATGCACAATAAAATTATTCTGAATTTTGAATATTTAGTGTGGAACTCATGAAGGATAACCCACTATGTTCAAAGAGTTACTGTAGGTCCTTCTAGTGGCATTAAAAAACAGCTTGCTATCATAATTTATATTTTAGCCCCCCCCCCCCCCCCAGCTGAAACAGGAGCTGATGGTTAATACATTTGCCTTCTAATCCCATGGTCCTGGGTTCAAATCATGTGACAGTAGGACTTTTCTACCTAAGCCTCAATTAAAGAGACTTCACTGATAAGCATCATGTTATTTCACTTTATTTAAGATGGCCCCTGAATATCAGCCGCCTTTTCCAGTATATGCTGGAAGAGTCGCCCTCTATAAATATGGTAAAAAAACATTTAAAACTTATTTTTAAAAAAATTTCAATTTAATTATATTTTATAACACAAGCATTACCAAGTTGACTAATACAAAAATACAAAACCATTTTTAGTACATTATCTATATAATACTGTACAGGGAAAGAAATTTGCATTCAAAACTGATACCAGATTTAACAAAAACCCAAGGAAACTTCCATGAAAGTACAGTGTCAATCAAAAAAAATTTAGGGAAAGGATGAGTTCATGAAAACAAAACAAATGTGAGGCCTCACCACAATATGAGTCTCATGGTTAGAATATCAAAAATTGAGTTTATATTATATTTAGATAGATCACATTATAAGCTTTAATTTGGTCTTTGAATGGCTTCACTAGGATATGTAGATCCAGAGATGGTGAGCCTTTAAATATTATGTGTAAGAGAACCACATTTTGAGAAAATCGGCTTCCAAGATAAACTAACCTGTACAAATAATAGGACTAGAATTACAGAATATGTGCAGAGAACATTGTTTTAGTAAGAAACTTAACTTAAAAAGTATACAATCATTAAATATAAATATCAAGTTATTCAAAAACATTAAAATCAAAATTTTGAACTATTTTGCTGATTATCTCAAAATGATTTCACCAACAATGTGTCTCATTTCATGGTGAGACCTCACAAATTTGAGAATGAAAAATATGTTTATCTAATTGTGGGGTGATTAAAATAAAGTTATCTGATGCAACTTTTTCTGAATAAATTTGAAATGATGTTACCAACAGTATAAAATAATATAGTTATGTGCATAATTAGGAACCATTTATTCAGATACATAGAATAAGAAGAGATTTAATAGGAAAAGTTTTGTGTTAAAACATATCATTGGCAGTACCACAAAAAAAGTTGCATGTCTTGTTAAAACGAAAAAAAAAAAAAAATAATTCAAGCACTCGTCGGCAATTGTGTAGAATATATTATAATATATGTGTTTTGACATCACTGTTTTGGGTGATAGTGTGTTGATGAAAACAATATGGAGTACAACTTTATGTTCCTTTTTTATGTAAATTTCAGGGGAGTAGGCATGTTTTGGCTTGTGGGTGGGGGGGGGGGTGTGGAAAATGAGAATGCAAACCTAAATCCCTATTTCAATAAAAACTTATTAGTAATTTTTCTATATTTTAACTTAGTGGAAGTAATTTGCTGACCCTCAACTCCCCCCCCCCCAAAAAAAATCCAACACCCATGAATCATATTATGTGAATGTTTGGTAAAAAAAATTCAAAAAACAACATTCAGTTTTTCTTTTCCCATTTGTAGGTTAGTATGAAAAGAATGGGTTACCGATCCTGTATGATGTGGGCGGACCCCAACGATCTTCAAAAAGAGAAGAGTGTGAATGTAGATTATGTGAGAGCCATCAACAATGACAACACTCAACGCTCACCCTCAAATGGCTGGAAGAACACAATATGGGCATCAGATGATAATCACAATGGACAGATGATTGATACGGAATTGTTAGAAAATGTTAACAGTGAAACAATTTTAGATGCGATTGAAAAGAACAGTAATGACAATGCTTGTCATAACACAGCAAAAGTTGTTAGGGCTGATGAGAATATCAAGTTATTCAAAAACATTAAAATCAAAATTTTGAACTATTTTGCTGATTATCTCAAAATGATTTCACCAACAATGTGTCTCATTTCGTGGTGAGACCTCACAAATTTGAGAATGATAGATATGTTTATCTAATTGTGGGGTGATTAAAATAAAGTTATCTGATTCAACTTTTACTGATTTTAAGATGATTTTCTGAATAAATTTGAAATGATGTTACCAACAATCAATATAGTTATGTGCATAATTAGGAACCATTTATTCAGATACATAGAATAAGAAGAGGTTAATAGGAAAATTATTGTGTTAAAACATATTGGCAGTACCAAAAAAAAAATGGAATGTCTTGTTAAAACGGAAAAAAAAAAAAATAATTCAAGCACTCGTCGGCAATTGTGTAGAATATATTATAATAAATGTGTTTTGACATCACTGTTTTGGGCGATAGTGTGAAAAATTTATGTTCCTTTTTTATGTAAATTTCAGGGGAGTAGGCATGTTTTGGCTTGTGGGGGGGGGGGTGCGGAAAATGAGAATGCAAACCTAAATTCCTATTTCAATAAAAACTTATTAGTAATTTTTCTATATTTTAACTTAGTGGAAGTAATTTGCTGACCCTCAACTCCCCCCCCCCCAAAAAAAATCCAACACCCATGAATCATATTATGTGAATGTTTGGTAAAAAAAATTCAAAAAACAACATTCAGTTTTTCTTTTCCCATTTGTAGGTTAGTATGAAAAGAATGGGTTACCGATCCTGTATGATGTGGGCGGACCCCAACGATCTTCAAAAAGAGAAGAGTGTGAATGTAGATTATGTGAGAGCCATCAACAATGACAACACTCAACGCTCACCCTCAAATGGCTGGAAGAACACAATATGGGCATCAGATGATAATCACAATGGACAGATGATTGATACGGAATTGTTAGAAAATGTTAACAGTGAAACAATTTTAGATGCGATTGAAAAGAACAGTAATGACAATGCTTGTCATAACACAGCAAAAGTTGTTAGGGCTGATGAGACACCGAAGGGTAGAGGAAAGGCGAAGCGAAAACCCTTCCGAGAAATGAATGAACAGAACGTGATGAAAAAGGCAAAGAAAGATAATCATAAAAGCAAGAAAAAGAAGCCAATTCCACAAGTTAAAGGCCAGAAAACGTTGAGTAATTTCTTCAGAGTTTGAAGTAATCCTAATCAATTAAATGATCAGAGCTACTCCAATGAGTCCTCTGTCAGTTGGTCGAATACTGTACAGTGGACGTCTTGCTCTGTAATGATTGTAGTGAAAATTGTTTTATGGAATAATCTGTCTGTTAAGTCTTATACACTGTAAAACCATTTGGCTCACACCTATTAAAATATTACTGGCAGACATTTTGCAACAGGCTGGAATTTTCGTAACTGGACAATTTCAGGTTTTGAAATGTTGTTTACGGTAAATTCATTCAGTACTTTCCTCTACTGTTTTAAGTGTCTATTTAACTTTATTGAATTAACACATGTAATGTGTTTCTCTGGTTTTCACTTTGCTACCTTATTCCCCCATCTATAACAGGTCAACTATTTAAATAATGAATTGTCACATATAATGTGTACCTCTGATTTGGTTTTCTTATTTATTAAATTTATTAATTATGAATTGGGTCTATAATATCATTTAATGAATTTTAAGATATAAAAAATAATGTGTAACTCTGAGTTGGCTCTCCTGACATATATTTTATTTTAACCTTTCCGTTTTGTTGTCTAGTATTATGAATAAATTAATTTATTTTAGGTATACCTCTTCTTTGGCTTCTTTATTAAATCTGTTATGCAATACTGATGAATTATAACATGTTCCCGAGTTGGCTCTCCTATGATATCCGTCTATGTAATATTTTAACCTTTCCACTAGTTCTCCAGCATTATAAAATGAATTTATTTATTTTAGGTTCAATATCTCTGCTATGCAATACTCATTCTGCTTCAGGTCTACTATTAATTTAATTATTAAGTTAACACATTATACTGTAATTTGTACTTCTGATTTGTATCTCCTGAATTTCTCTATGTAATAATTTTACATTGACTCTCTCCCATCAGTTAGGCATAATAGTAAGTAATAGTAAGTTTTACTCAGGGATAAATGGTAAATTTAATAATATTGTTGCTGTGTGTGGAGCACTCACAAGAGGACAAACATTTGATTGATACTTTGTACAAGCATTGCCAGTCTCATTAGTCTATTTGTCTTGTTAAATTAATATTTATTGTAAGTCTAACATGACTAGGTTTGTAGTATTATCTGTGCACTTTAATGCAGGTCTTATTAAACCTTGCACATGCAATTTGTATTCCGCTAATGTAAAGTATTCAGTGAAATTGAATGAGTGGTGGTGGCATTTTTAGTTGTATTATGTAAAATATTTTCTGTGCAATTGAATTACTTCATATTTTACTTAGTCAAGCATTGTAAATAAAGTGAAACAACAATACATTTAGTATATTTTTTGTAAAAAATTTTTTATTTTGTTTCTCATAGTTAATAATAAAAAAAAAAAAAAAAACACTGCCTGCATGAAATATTTCCAGTTTGTTTATAAGAAATCACTTGTTTTTCCCTTTTGAACACAGTACAAATGTACAAACATCTGTCAGATATGAAAAAAACACTGCCTGCATGAATTATTTCCAGTGGCTTTCCGTTCGTATATAAGAAATCGCTTGGTTTTCTATCTTTCCAAAGTAAGTTATAAAAGTTTCAATTGAAGAAAGATGAAATAAGTTAATGTATTAAGACATTGTGACTAGATAAGTGTCGACTGGATGCCACCTCGACTTCTGCATAGCTCTGTAAAGTTCACCAGAATTTTGCTTCATGAATTCCTCGTCTAACGTTTCCATATCAGTGGCAGCCTGACCATGTTCTAAGCATAAAACAAGCAGCAATAATTAATATTTTTTTAAAGCTTTGGGATTTACATTATTGACTTAATTAATTTCAAAATTGTTATTTTTTTTTTCTTCACATCCAATGGCAAGAAAAAGTCCTGTTGTAACAAGAACTGAACCCAAGACCCTGTAATTAAAAGACAAGCATCCCAACCACCATTAGCTATTTAACTCCACTTTAATTTTAAACCTTCAATGGTATCACTGGTACAGTAATAACTATCATTGATAGTTAAATTAAATTTAACCATTTATGCTATAAAAGGATTTCTCTTTAAACTCACCCAAAAGTAGTTGGTCATCTTTGTCAGTTTGTTCCTCTGCTGCTTGTTCTGTGCCAGCCTGTAATTATAAGGGAAATAAAATATATCATTAATTAGCAATAGAACGTTCGCTTTATATTACTAAGAACAGTATTACAGCTACCAAGCCCAGGGAGACATGTCAAATCAAATGTTAATAATAATAATCAATCAGTTAGGAACATAAAAAATCAATAGTTTTTAACTTATTGTAAAACAAGACCCCTACGAGGACAGCGGTTGTTTGCCAGCTACGTTTTATTTTTTAGTAAAACGAATGAAAAGTTGTGTCTGTCAGAACAGAGGTTGCTGAGCCACACTAATCAACTCTTTGGTTATCTACCTACAGTACTGCCAGGGACTACTATAGCTGCACAATGGCAGACTTCAGAAGTTCTACGGAAATTTTGCCTAATTATGGACGTATGGAAATAAGACAAAAATACTACGGAAATTTACCATGGGCCCAGACCCATAAACAAATAGGTCTAATGTCCAGAACAAACGCCTTTTCCATCAAAATCTTTGATTAAATTAACTAATACTTGTCAGTTTACTGATAAAATTATTGAGGAAAAAAAAGGAAAAGTGGGCCATAAATTTACATTATGTCCTGTTTGTTTGTAATTCCACATCGAATTACAGTACAGACAATCGGGCCAAATAAGAAATTGGCCCGATCGTTGCCCATAAATCTTTATCCCATCCAGTTTGAAATTTCACACGAAATGTACCTGCAATTTTGAGCAACTATATCTAGCACTCAAGTCAATTAATAGATGCTACGGAAATGTTTCATTTACTACGGAAATCTGAAGACATAGTTACGGAAATGCATTTTACGAAACTTGAGAAGTCTGCAATGGACCTTTCCGAAGTGTCAATCAAAATTAACAACTAACCAATCAGAACAGGGCTAGTAATGCACACATGCCTCAGAAACATATGTGTCCCTTATAGCAAAAATATCCAAGGGCAGAGGCTTAGTGGAAAGGTCTTTTGTTTATCAATTTGTCTATTGACTTGGCTACTACAATCAGACCTTGCAATTGACCTCTGAGTTGACCTATGATGTTTGCTTACATGCGCAACAAGAATTTAGATGTCACTCAATCATAATCCCATACACAAAGTGGGGGAGGGGGATTGTTAATATCACAGTTTGTATAGCATCTGTGGTAATATCAAATCTAATTATTCTACACAGTCAAACTACAGTATGTGAGAATATGCAAAATAACCATATTATACTAGAGACTAGAGAGTATTTTAAATGTTAAAAAATTAACTATGATGATGATGATGATGATGTAATAAAAACTGATGAAATGGAAAAATACTTACATTGGCTTGATCTGTCATCTGATTTGACATGTCTCCCTGGGCTTGGTAGCTGTAATACTGTTCATAGTTCATTGCCGACCACTCACCTTCTCCCCCTCCCTGGCCGTAGTACTGATTGCCATAGTCACCACCACCACCCTGCTGTTGCCACTGCTGGTTCCACTGCCCTGGGTTGTACTGCTGTCCATATTGGTTGTTGCCATAATAATTTGCCTGTTGTCTATTGTGTTCATAGGCTCTACTACAAATTTAATAATGTTAGTTCTGTTATCATTCAAGATTACCACTAGAGGGCGCTACATCAGTAATTTTTACATGAACCACTTCACAATCATGTATTGAGATAAGGGTACCCTTCCAAATTATTTGAATTCCTTCAGTTATAAATAATGGTTTCCCATTTCATTCTTCTTTAACATGGGCCTTATAATAATGATAAGTTAGATTTATATTTAGCAATTAAGCCAACAAGGCTTCTAAGCGCTTCATAACCAAAGCATAAACAAAAAAGTGCAGTGATCGTTTACATGAGCCCTGAGATAATGCGGTTTTTGTATGATGATGCTAGGTCAGTGTATTTGCAATGTTTACAACTGTTGGGGTCCCACTGAATGAAACTATGGTATAGTTTATATTCTTTTTAAACTACAACGTTGGGACCACCTTGTGCTTCGGGGCCCTTGTGCTCCGCCCTCCCCCCCTCTTATCAGCGCCCGAGTGTGATGCCACTGAATCCCCTACTCTTTCGAAAAATACAACAGGTTCTTTAAAGTGCACAAAAACAGAAGAATGAAGGCGATCAAGTTACCTTTTGGGAGTTGCTACACTAATCTTAAGTGGCTTGCTACCAAGACCTGTTGAACCTTGCATTTCTACAGACGCTTTGTTCCTTTCATCTTCATTGAAAAACCTTACAAATCCGAATCCTTTTGGAATGCCTTGATCATCAAGAACAACTATAACAAACATATCACAAAGTTAATAAATTTCAAATAAAAATAATAATAAGAATATAATTTCTTTACCAATTAATATTTGAGGCTTAGTAGCATTGCATGATTTTAATCTTAATCTTTAATATTCTAAGCACTTTTAAACTATTTTAATCATCTTACCAAAATACACAATACTGTATCTTGAAAAGTTTAAATTTGACGTTTACCCCAAATTTTAACTCTTTTCTACTTTTTACCCATTCCGGCTTTACCTGTATTTTTAATTATTTTGAAAGGTTTTTTTTATTTTATTAAATGCAGGTTAAGATTAACTGATCATTAAATATCACTGTATTTTTTATTGAATTATCTTTTAAGTTTTGTCTTATTTTTTGTATACATGTGTCGTTGTCTGTGGTTTGACTGTAAATGCACCGCATAACATGTGCCACTGATTCCAAAGCGTAGTTTTCAAATCAAGTTATTATTATGTTTTTTGCACAGACCAATGGCGGATTAAGGAATGTGAAATAGAGTGATCCCGGAGAGAAAGATTTTCACAGATGGAGGGTTTGGACCACCATAATGGGGCTGAAATAAAAAAAAATTATGACTATGGCACCTCTAGATGGCTGGAAATGGCACTCTCCTTTTTCTCAGAATTTGAATATAATTTTCATTTATTCTTTATTTTTTCCAAATTTGAAAAATTTAGTAGGGGGGGGGGGGGGATCTGCACCAGCCGGGCCCCACACACCCTTGAATCCATCACTCTAGACTATTGCATATGGTTGGTATATATTAACAATTTTAATTAAAAAAAAATAAATCTGTAAACCAGTGAATATTGAATTGCTTTGGTCTGTGTCTAATTGGAATGCTGGACAGTCACAGATGAGTGAGACTGTTCTACGTTCAAGTCGTGCAAATCAAAAAGCTCCATATTACAACAAACACACCAACCTTTGGCGCCTTTGACATCTTTGTAGCGTTCAGCAAAGAAATCATGCAACATCAGGTCATCGACCTCAGGTGATAGGTCTCCAACAAATATTGAAAATTCTGGTCTTAAGCTGGTAAAATGAAAATTTGGAGAAAATTAATATGAATACTTGTTAAACTATTACATGAATTCACCCATTGATAAACACCAACAACCACATCTTAGAGCATGGTATGAAACTGTTTTGAAATAAATTTAAAAAAAACCTCACCTTGATTGAGCATCTCCACGTCCCTGGCAATGGTTCAAGCGAAATCTTTTCTGCAAAAAAAAGACAGAAAGACAATATTACCATTACTTTATTCAGCACAAAATATTATGGGTTTAAAACAGACCAATAAATGAGTATTTATTAACCTGCTTATTTGTACAGTAATAAGGGATAGATTAAAGACAAACGGACTACCAAATTTTAAAATGTACGAGATTTCAACCACACAGTGGTCTTTATCAGGTTCACCGTCACCTGATGAAAAACACTGTGTGACCAGTCAAAAGCTTGTGTATTAATAAAATGTGTTAGTTTATAAAGTGCTGTTTGTCTTTAATTTACTGTATATCATCTAAGTGCAATATAAATGAATAACCTTTAACCACTAACCTTTACCTGTAGACTAACACAGCTACCTTTTCTACTTAGTTATAAGGAGCAACTTAATTGTATCATTATAGGCTGGTACAGACTGGTGGACTACATGGTTTTAAGTAGACGCTGGAAAAAAAAAAATCTTACATTTGGCATTCCTGGAATGGGCTGGTTATTGTATTGACGTAACACTCTCGTTGCTGTCTCTTTATTGCCAAAATCTACAAAGCAATATGCATAACTACTTCCCTCTGGTCTGAAATTAAAAATTTTAATATAAACATTATTACTTAATATTACATACTTGCACTTGCGTTTAATTTTAGTCAAACTAATAACCAAGCTAACTTGTACAATTATCTTTCAATTAAACTCATACCCAAAAGTCAAGTTGTGTCCAAATTAACAATCCATGTCAACTCATATTCATTAAATTTGTACAAAAATGTACTAATAATCAAATTTACTCATACTCACGACTAAAGCAGTGTTCACACCAAGGCCCAGACAAAAAATCATTTAAAATGGGTTGAGTGGTAAAGAATAGGACCGTTCACATTAAATTCGCACAATTTCCAATCTGGCCATTTGTATCGTGACATTGTATGTTTTTTTTTTGTTTTTGTTAGACTAATCAGCAACGAGCATGAATGACCTCTCTAGACTTTTTCCAGGCGCATGTGAATAAAGTGTAACAACTTCTGATTTATGTCCGGGATTTGGACCGGATCCGGGCTTGATGTGAACGTAGCATTACTTGTACATAATAAATCAACAGCAAAGCCAATATGAGCCTATGGCAACCTGCATGTCAATCTGCACCAAACTAATCTGTACTAAGGAAACTCATATCCATGTAAACCCTGACCTATGAGTTTGTGGTACCAAATTTAACTTAAAATTTACTGAACTTTTAAGGGTAGGGGGAGTTACTGTATTATTGCAATATAGATTAATACTTTTATTAAGGTAAATACAATTCAATTGGGAACAAGATTTACCTTGTCAGTAAATGTTGGATCTATGACTTACCTAGTTTTTCTGATGACTCTAACATACACTACTTTTTCTCCGTAACCTTCAAACAGTCCTCTGACAAACTGTTCATCCATTCCATAATCAAGCTTTAAAATAAAAATAGAGATAAAATAACAATTGTGTTAGGTCCAGCTAGGCCCCAGACTGGGAATATATAGTATATCCTCCACGCAAGAATTTGGCCAAGAAAACGGTCGGTGAATTTCGGAATATATAAGGCCGATTTCCATGCAGATTTTGAAAACAATTAAGTTTTGACATCTTAATATATAAACAAGGTTTTATGTAGTAATTACGATTCTGCACACCTATATGTGAGGTCTTGCCACAAATTGAGTCTCATGGTTAGAAATTCAAAAATTGAGTTTATATTATATTTAGGTAGATCACATTATTAGCTTTCATTTGGTCTTTGAATGGCTTCCCTACTATACGTAAATCCAGAGATGTGAGCATTTAAAGTTTAGGTGTATAAGAACCACGTTTTTAGAAAATCAGCCTCAAAGATAAACTAACCTGTACAAATAATATTCATCTAGAATTACAGAATATGTGCAGAGAACACTGTTTTGGCAAGAAATTTTACTTACAAAGTATACAATCATAAAATATAAGTATCAAGTTATTCAAAAACATTAAAATCAAAATTTTGTAAAAATGTTGAATTTGGCCTGTTTTGGTGAATATCTCAATATGATTTCACCAACGATGCGTCTCATTTCATGGGGAGACCTCACATATTTCTAGCGATTTTCTGCACAAATTTAAACTGGTTTTTGAGGAACCAGCTGCACAATTAAAAAACTTAGGCCTACAGTATGCCTAAATACAAATAAGTTTTAAAATATAGGTATTTGGTATGTGATTCAACTGTTTATTTTACGAAAAAAATAATAAAGTAAAGTAAGTTTTACTGTGTGTTAATATTCAAACATTAAAAATAAAAAAATAAAAAAAAAAACCTTACGCCTACAGTACGTACAGACAGTATTTGTTACATGCCAGACTGTAAATTAAAATAAGGCCTGCCTGCCTTAATTAATTAGGCCTATCAGATATTTTAGGGGAGTATCCTTTATGGCCATGCAGTGTATTACTATCAATAACTTATTAATGTGGTTAACTCATAAGCCTAGAACCCTAATACTCTGGTCTTCGGCCTACGTCTGGCAGAGAGTAGTACTCTACTCTAGGGTAGGCCAGGCATAGTGTACCTTGTTTACATCGCGGCCGAAACGGTCCCTCTGCCCTGGGTGGCTGTGTCATTCGTCATGTTCATCATAGTCTGATAGGCGTAGCCTAAAAAAGCCTTTAAATGTAAAATCACAGGCATTTTATCAATAGCAAAATGAGTTAGAAAAAAATATAACGATATAACTACTCACATTTGCCATATAAATTGAGCTCGAATTTGTTGGCTTGGACATTTTCTCCTCTTTTTTGTGCAGGTCAGTACGTGTTTTCCAAATTTTTGTTTCCACCGCGGTGGTCAAGGGTCAAGTGTCAAAATAATGACGTAAACTTTTTCTTTTTTAGATTCAAATAAATAATATATAGACTTAGGCCTAGGCCTAGTGCATTTTGATTATTATAAAAATATAATAAATTTAAAACCTATATTTATGGCTACATAAAATATTTGTCGTACTACGTATTACATATGCATTATTTTTGTAAAAATGAATTGTTTAGCCTAGCCTCCATTTACCGAACATGGCGACTTCCATAGAAATCGACGTGATAGCTGGCTGCTATGAAAGATCTCTAATTGGATATCGTTTAATCAAGAAAAATGATGAGGTTAATCAAAATTTTAATTTGAATAATGCATATATTTATAACATGTTTAATTTGGCTGCCTATATTAAACCCGGCCTATCTTAGGCCTAAAGCCTCTGTTTTATGTGAGGCTGACTGAGCCTGACCTGACTGAGTCGAGTGAGGAGCTGTTAGAGCTTACTACCACATGCCAAACAGCTCAGGCCTAGGCCTAGACTACAATTATAAGACCGCCGTCTCAGGGGCTGCTATTGCATCTATATATCTGAGTCATCCATGTTCTTCTCTTTAAACTGGTTGTCCACTAGGCCAACGCGAATTTATTTCTGCAAATTGAAAAAAAGCATTAAACCATAGGCTATGGCCCTATACATGCGCAGTTTAATTTTCATGTACAGTATGAGTCATTTACCACCAGATTTTGCACTTGTCGTTGCAGTTTCTACTTTTTGTGAAGCAAAACATTACGCGCAGCCAGTCAGAGTTTCATAAGAGATTTAATCGTGCCTGTGAGTGCAAGATCGAATTAAGGAATGTATGCGCAAGAAAATGGCATGCCGATCCATCATTGGCAATGCGGAAACGTGTACTTTTTGTTCATCAGTGGTAAAAATAAATAAGTGCTTGCACAAATTTTTTTGAGGCCAAACTTTTCGTGTCGTGAATAAATTCACCTAGGCCTTCAGTAGTGGAAAACCGCATGTATTACATCATATTGATAAAACAAAATCTAATAATGTAATTACATCATATTTTAGATTTTGTTTTATCAATAACGAACTTGACTGACACACCTGCTTTATACTGGCCAACTTTGCTGGCGTCCAATGCGCGAGACAAAAATAAGTAAATTTGTATATAGTGCCCTCTATTTAAAAACCACAAAATAGAGCACCCTCCAGTCATTGGAAGTTTCTTCATTATTTTTAATTAACGTTATCCAATATTCAGTATAAAAATCAGAGTACACATTTTTTAATTCAATAATTTGCTCAAGTTAATAATTTTGTATGTTATATTGCAAAATGATATAATTTTTTTGTCATTTTCAGGGAACAATATGTCTTTAATGCAACAGTGAGCTACCTGGGATGATGACCAAGTCGATGGTCACCTAGAGCCATTATTAAAAAATGTATTTACTGATTAATTCCTTTTTTTTGTTTGTTTTTATGCAGGAATATATATTTCAAATGAAGTTCACTAACAATTCCCACACAGGCTGCGTGAAGGCACTGGCGTCGACAAACAATTTCTTGGCATCAGGAAGTACAGACGAGATGATACAGCTATATAACCTGAAAACAAATTGTGAAGTCGGTAGCCTGATGCACCACAAAGGCAAGCAATTTGTGATGTATTCATTTATTTATTTTTTATTATCAACATTTTAGGATAAAGAAAAACAAGGATAATATAACCAAAAGTGTGAAACACTAATATATCAAGAGATATCCTATGCAGAAAAGAAGAAACATTACCAAAAAACATGAACTAAATTAAGGAAGAAACAAACAAGATATAACAACATAATACAAAGTAAAGTACATAGAAACAAAAGTAATAAATAACAGTATTTGAAAAAAAATGTTCAACAGTAATAAAGGTAAAGTACATTTTATTGTTTTTTTAAATAATACAGTACAGTATTAATTATACAGTAGCAGTGGTGGCACCAGAAATTTGCCCACAAGGGGTCTGAAGTGTGTGATGGAGGGGTCCGAACCAAGGCGATGATGAAGCCTCGGTTGACGGCCCAGAATAAAAAATCAATGTTAGGGTTCATGGGGAGAGTTTTTATGGCTTAATTTGGTCCTAAATATGCTTTTAGACCACAGTAGGGATTGGCATCAAAATAGCAGTATTTGGATAGGCAAATTATTTTTTTTCTAATTTTTGATCCGACAACCTAGTCGTTCGTCGGACGACAGGGGGTCCAGGCTTGTCAACCGGGGTGGGGGAGCAAATGCCCACCTTTGACCCCCCACCCCCGGTGCCACCACTGCACAGTGGGCATATATTTACACCGTTTAAATCAACCTATTAATTATTAGTATTGTTATATTTAATTATTTATTCACAATTCATAAAAATATAATTTATTAGCAATCCATTATATTTTTATTAGGATCGGTTACTTGCCTATGTTTCCATGACAACAGACACATGCTCAGCTGCAGCGAGGATGGTACTGTCTGCGTCTGGTCCACAAAAGATTGGGAGTGTCATAAGGTTCTTCGTGGTCACAGGTCAGAGGTGTTGTCTGTAGCCGTTCATCCATCGGGAAAATTAGCGATGTCCGTCGGGAAGGACAAGACATTAAGAACTTGGAATCTTATCCAAGGGAGGTCAGCATACATTACAAATTTAAAAGCAGGTATGTAAATTCATAATTATCTTTGTTTTATAGTAATTATCATTGTCATGATGGAATAGACAATAATATCTAAAATATAAAAAAAATAATAATATTAATCTAACTATCGCCCTCTATGAAGGAATTGTATCTTGTGAAACACAGATAAAACAACCTGTGCTCGGCACTACTGGCTAACCAAAAGTGACACCCAAATGCATCAGGCGTACTCTGATCTAGTTGCTGATCTAGTTGCATACTGGGACGTATCGTTTGTTTACGCTCAAAAGAGCGTACCATGCTCTCTTTACGTTCTATACCCTTTGATAGCGCATACTGTGCAAATGTGCTTCTATGCGCTTTACATCAGTTTATAATAATATGATAGTTAGAGATGTATCCTGTTTTCTATTCAGTTTCAGAACTTATCCTATGGAATCCAAGTGGCACTAAGTACTTTGTTGTAATAGACAATAGAGTTGATGTATACCAGCTTGAAACAGCCAAAGTCATTGCCTCTTATAAATTTTCTGGCAAAATCATTTCTGCTGCCCTCATACAGGTAATATAATATTATGTGGAGTAATTAAATTTAGTATGATGATAAATTACAGTATGAATACACCAGACAGTATTGCATAATCCCATAGCCAGTGTGTGCCACATCACTACTAAGTCCACATTATCAAATTTTCTTTGACAAAAAAACTGTTGTATGTCCATATATAGATGTGATGTGCCTATATATGGTCACGATGTGATGTCATCATGACCATATTTAGGCATGTCACATGTTTTTGTCAAATAAAATTTGATTATCTGGACAAGGCTTTTGGAGTGTCAATTGACATGTTGACAAGGACGCGAAGCCCCGCCCGCAAAGTCACGAAAACCTTAGACAATGGCGGCTAGACTTACCCAGTTGGCGAAGATTTTCTTCGTTATCAACCTTCTTTAAGAAAGAGAATTCAGGGTAGGCGGTATGCAAGTGAATCATATATTCATAGTGTTAATCTGTTTCATGGAACATGGCGGGGAAATTGTTGTAAAAGCCTCTGTAGGTCACTCCCAAAGGAAGAGGGAAAAGCCGCATTCTGTCAGCCTTGTTGTCGGCAAAGGCCAAGTCACTGATGCGTACTGCTCGTGTAAATCTGGGTATCTATAACCAAGCATAGACATCTAAGCCTAGGCTCGCGTATGTTTCGCGTTTAAACCAGCTGTCTAAGGAAATTAAAATCTCCAGAGAAAAAGTTTTTGATCACGTGACTAAATGACGCTCGCTGATTAGTCGGTTTATCTGTCAATCAAATCTCGTTGAGATGTTAATTGCGTAAAGAATAAGAATCTTAGCTCTCAGGAGGAATGTTTCATTAATGAGGCCATATTTATGACTCTAGTTTTGTTTAATCTAATAAGTTCAAAGAAGAGTTAATGAGTTAGTTACTTAGTAGTTAAGCGGTACCAATCTCGACTTGGCTTCAGCTATGTCTTAGTTTCCTTTTGTATTATACATTACATTGTATTTTGGAACAATAAATGAAAAGAACAAAAAGTGTATTAATAATACTAAATCATTACTATTTTATACTCATTTCCAATATCATTCGGTATGAAATGATGTTTTTGCTCTACCTAACATGTTACCAAACTAAATGCTGAATTCTTTCCAAAATACAAGTTAGAAAAAAATCTTGTGATTCGAGTGGTCTTGTTATTCGGGTGGGAATTGAACCCACGACTGCCAGATTACCATCCTAGTGCCATAACCACTAGACCACTTACTAGTAGTTTGTGGCTAGTGTTGAATCTGATACCCAAGTAGTAGAGGGTACTGCAATGCTATTTAATTCAGGAACATAATAATGAGCATTTAATACAATAACATGTGAGGTAGGGCACAAACATCATTCCTAACCAATTCAGATTGTGTAATTCATCCTAATTTAATATTCAACGACAGAAGTGTCATTTTACCTTTTGTTTGTCTTCAAAATTATTGACAGTCTTAATAATTTCTTAGTATGTGACTTCCTTATTCTACTTGCGCAATTCACACCTTATTTTACGCATCAGTCCATTTGGCTGCAAAGCATTGCATAATTTTTTTACCATAACATTTCATAGAAACATTGCCCAACTCTAACCACATCTAAGCTATCAATAACCATCTCTTTTTTTTCATGAGAATATTTCATGTCCTGTTTAAACTACAATATCTCATTTTGATTTTTTTTTTATCTGTTCGTTTGTTTATTTTTTTACGTAATTGATTTATGTGGCAATAATTTGTCACAAGCTTAGTGGTCAGGTAGAATAATGTCTTTGAACTCTGGAAAGGGTAAACTTCAATCCTACCTGAATCACTTGCATATTGTTTTACAGTCATTAAAATTACACAGCTCTATATTAAAGATACTGTATGTTATCCTCTAAAAACGATATAAAATCTTACAATATAATTCTTAAATTCACTTGCTCGTATTGAGGCAACATAAAAATCATTAACATGAGCATAGAAATGATTGAATTTAAAAATGTGTACCCTGATTTTTATGCTGGATAATGATAATAAAAGTAATAAAACACTTTTTTTGCTGTAAAATTATGAGTAAACATTTTTTAAATACACTAATTTTTATTTTCAAGTTGATAATTTTTATGTTACTTCAAAATGAGCAAATAAATTTCACAAACGATTTTTAAAAATTGTTTTGGTACTGTATTTCGCATGGAACGATACAGCATCATTCTATGATTATCACACTTGCTTACACTTCATATTTTGTACGCATTATTGTAATCATTTTAAGTATATTCTTATTATTATTGATGTTGTTTATTACAGTGTTATTATCATTTGCTGTTATATTAATTGTTACACAATTTTTATTACCATAAAAGGATGACTATGTTGTTGTTGGAGGAGAAGGAGAAATGATAGAAGTTTTCAGCGCAAGTGAAAGTAATCCAGTCTGCCTGTGCAAATGGAAAGCCCATGAAAACAGGTTAGAGTTCTATAGAAAGTATTATACCACTCCATTATTTTTAATATAATAACTTTTTTATAACATGTGCCAGTCTCAACACAGACCATGTGTCTTTAACATGTTGACTGCCAGACCTTTTTTTTTAGGTTGGTTTCCATGTGCCAGATTAAGTTTACATGTACAAACTTACTTTTTTTGAAATTCTATCTAGTCATATACAGTATCATCGGAACGGTGTGTTTAATAAATTGAGGCATGTCATGGCGAAATGGTTAAGTTGTCGCACAGGCCAGTATTGAGTAAATGAGCTATAACATATTGGAGCTCAAAAATTTGCCTAAAAATCCAAATATGTCTTTTACTATATATCAACAGTTAATAATGTCTTATTAATCATGTCCCAAAGTATTTGTTCTGGAAGTTGTCATCAAATCGTTTGTTTAACGTTATTTTGATAGTTAATTCTATTAAGCAATGTATGCACAAATAACTTTGAAAGGCAATTACTCAAAATCATGTTTATATGTTGACTCTAAGAGTGCTGTGACATTTACTCTCAAATAACTTAGGCTTGAAATGTCCCAATTTCAATGAATGAACCCTCATTTCAAAGATTACATACTCAGGTATCTGAAAATACCAATAACTTGAATTTCAATTTTTGCTACAACTTAGCCATTTTGCCACAAAATGCCTCAAATGGTGGGAAAATATAAAAGGGACGAGTAAACTCGTCGCCAGCACTGGGACAGCATTTTTTAATTTCTCAGCCAAGTGCAAGTTTTCTCGCCTGCTATTTGCATGGGTAGGTACAGTATCGTGCAATTTAGTCTACTACCAGCAAGATAAAACAACAAAGATACATCCGTTATTTGTACGTTATCGTCTATGTGCACGTTGCCCGAACTACCAGCTGTTTAGTCTGTGGTTCTACAATGTACAACAAAGAAGTAATAAAATCTATAATGTTACCCCGATTTTGACAAGTGTTGTCGTCCCTATCGCCCTTACCAACATCCTGAGGGACAAGTATACTGGTTACTGGCAGCAAATGTGTTAAAATAATAAATTATGTATTTTTTTAAATACAAGGATACAATGAGACTGTATTCATCCCTCTATGGGAAATTTCATCTCTGAATATAACAATGTGAATATAAAAAATGCATAGACAATTAACTGATGATAATGATGATGATGATGATGATGATGATGATGATGATAGTAATAATAATAATAATATTAATAGTAATAATAATGATAATAATAATAATATGCGCTAAGTAGGACTTAAGAGGAATATCTTTGTGTTATTTTCCCCTTAACGTCATGTTATTTTCCCCAATAACATTGTTTTTTTAATTGGTCTCTTGATTTCTCCATTGTCTAAGTTCCCTTTAAGGTAGGTTTTAGTAACATAATAATAATAATAATAATAATAATAATAATAATAATAATAATGATAATGATAATGATAATAATAATGTTAATGATAATGATAATGATAATGATAATAATAATAATAATCAAAATTATGATAATAGTATTGGTATAATTAATAATAAAATTAGTGATATATTCCCAGGGAGGAAGGAGAACAATTGTGTTCTGTAGAGCCCTATGGCGGCCTCAGTCTACCACTACATTCAGTATAACAGTTGGCAATATCTGAATTACTATTTCCCTTATTAAGTCTATCACCATTTGTTTGGTTTCCGAAAAATTCAATTTCAAGAAATTTACATCAAAATATATTATAGAAATCTTTTTATTACCTATATAAATCTAGAGTCATCATCTCCCTTTATCAACGTAATATTTGTCATTCTTTTCAGAGTGAAGGCAATAAAATCTATTCGTGCATCAGTGTCATCCGAGCAGTCAGGTTCTTACTGGCTTTTCACAGCATCAAGTGATGGTCACATCAAAGCCTGGACCATCGATGTTGAAAAGGTATGAAATGTCTACCCATACCTACTCATGCCATTAAACACGTTATTTTCTTTACCAAATTGTACCAATGGAGCTATTCTTTATCTTTACCCACAACAACTCATATTTTAGTCATTTTTTTAGACAATTCATACAAAATTATAAGCATGTACCTGCATATTCCTTCTTTCTTTGTATCCTTTTTACCACTTGGTTATTTTAAACATGTGAATCATAGTTTTCGTATAATATATTATTTTGTATGATGATTTGGAGAAAACAAACTAGGAAATATTTTGTAAGGACAATTTAGGTAAAATGTTTTTGAGGGCCTTAAGAATTATCCACATTACTGTATCAAGTTTAGTGACTAATATCTGTGATTTTTTTTTTGCACAAACATGAGTATGATGGTGTCATAGATTTGTATATTTACAAATCACAGTTGTATCAGTTACATAAAATTTGATAGTGTGGTCAGAACGTTACTGAGTGGGATAACAATTTTAAAATAGTCCACATTTATTATGCGCCAGTATACATCAAAGATGCTCATAACACAAACAGATATCGAGAGATTAATTAACAGTCGGTAATCTTAACTATGAATATAAATAATAATAATGATAATCTTAATCATCATCATCATAATAATCAGTGTAACCCTGGTGGGAGACGCTTCAGGAGTGCGCCAGTATACATCAAAGATGCTCATAACACAAACAGTTATCGAGAGATTAATTAACAGGCGGTAATCTTAACTACGAATATAAATAATAATAATAATAATAATAATGATGATGATCTTAATCATCATCATCATAATAATCACTGTAACCCTGGTGGGAGACGCTTCAGGAGTGCGCCAGTATACATCAAAGGTGCTCATAACACAAACAGTTATCGAGAGATTAATTAACAGTCAGTAATCTTAACTACGAATATAAATAGTAATAATAATAATAATAATAATAATAGTAATAATAATAATAATAATGATAATCTTAATCATCATCATCATCATAATCACCGTAACCCTGGTGGGAGACGCTTCAGGAGTGCCCAAGGCAGAATTCCTAACTCCTAAGACTTACAAAGGGAAGGAACATCTCACGTTTCCATTTATGGGCTGCCGATTAAGGGAGGGTTCTACACTGCTGCCCTAACAGATGTATCCTAAACTGAATCATTGCCTAATGCAATTTTTCAAAATTGGAAACTGATTATGAAATGGATGTCAGAGATCAACAATATTCTTCATTGGTTGAAGCAGAAACAATTGAAATAATGTTAAGTTAAAGATTTTGTAATGTATGCATTTATTCTAAAGATTCAAGTATTTCTAAAACTTTCTTTCAACATCCTCAAGTATCAGCATTTCATTGGCTTTTCACAGATCACAGAGCAGCCACACCTACTTGCATCAGTTGACACAACAGCGAGACTAACATGTTTGACTGTTAGAACAGCGAAAAATTTCCAACAAGATGCTAGCAAATTGGGCAGCAGCCAATCAGAAGTTGCAGTGAAAAATAAAACAAAGAGAAATAGGAACCGAGATAGAAAACCAAAACTGCAACAGTCCAGTAGTAATGAAAACAGTAAACGAGTCCTGGAAGAAAATGTGGATGCGAAAGTTGTGAAGAAAAAGAAGAAAAAAGTATCAAATGCCTAAAAAGTCAACTATAAACATTTTATCAAATACTTTTAATTAAAAACATACTGACTGTATAAATAGATAGGGAAACCATATTAAATCAATGAATTCATAATAAATAGGCCTATCAGTTTCCATGATTGTCATAGATTTCCTCTGTTCAGCTCTTGAGCAGGGTTTCATTGGATTGCTTTTGACCTAGACAAAGGTCAACTTTATCTTGGTTAAATCATACTACTGTTCGCGGTTGGATTTAAAGATGTATTTTCCCATACAAAATACCCCAAAAATATCATGATAATCGTTTTTGAAATTAATTTGCTCATTTTGAAGTAACATAAAAAGTAACAATTTGAGCATAGAAATTAGAGTATTTAAATATTTATCCATAATTTTAAAGCAAAAAATGATAGATACATTTCTAGTGAATGTAAGTGTTTTTATTTATCTTTTTATTTATTTTTTTATTTATTTAGTATAAAAATCAGGGTACACATTTTTTTTAATTCAATAATTTCTATACTAAAAGTTAATAATTTGTATGATATGTTGAAATAAGAAAGTTCATTTCTAATTTTTTTTTTATGACTTTTTGTCATTTCAGGGGATATACTGTACATCTTTAAATAAACAATAGTTCTTGTCAAGCTTGTGACTAAACAACATTATAGTACTAGTAAGATTTTGCGCAACTGGATGTAGTCTGTGAAAATTCCAGTGGTTTGCGGTAAAAGCACACTCTCAAGATATACATATCTGACACCTGCTGTTCACAAAAACAGCTCTGCTATTCTTCTAGGGCAAAGGTCAATCGGTTAAACTTATTGCGTTGTGTAATTTGACAAAGGAGAATGTTTCACGCACTGGATTATTCCTGGCCAAAATGATCAGGTATATGGTTCGTTTAATAGAAGAAAATGTTGAGTTCCATCACAGATTTGGATATTCAGTATGCTTAATATTATATTAATATTATTAGCTTAAAGTTAATATTATATTAGTATTAATATTAGTGTTAATGTTCAATAATGTTTACATTATACTAAAAATTATCATCACATTTAGAAGTGTGCACGTAAGTTTGTGTCTCAATAAATGTATACTCCAGTCTTATATGTGATATCTATTTAATATTTGTAATGATATCTATTTATCTGATTAATGATTCTTGTAAAATGCAAATGCACCGTCCAGTTCGAGAACCCTCCCAATTCGAGAACCCTCCAATTCCGAGACCCCTCTAATTCGAGACCATTTCTTCAATAAGTCAAATAACAATAAGAAAGTATAATACATACTCCAAGTATTGAAGTACACGCCATCGTGTTGGGATTCCCAACACGATGGAGTGTATTTCAATACATGTACTTGTATTTCAATACTTGGAGTATGTATTATTATACTTTCTTATCTCAGATTAATCAGTGAACCTTTCGGTTTTTCAAATAACAATCTTCAACCCATTAACACGTAGCTCTGTATGAAGATCAAATCCCGGGGGCAGCGGCGGGAGCGTACTACCCAAAATGTTCAAGTCCCAAAAGTGGTGTCGAATTAGAGGCAAACTGTGAAATGGGTGTCTACTAAAACCATTTAAAACGATGTGACAAAAGTAATTACAGTATTTAGTTTTTTTTAAACATTTTATTGTGTTTGTTTTCATAATTTCACACCAGTACTGTTTTTACCCAAGGTTATATCTACTTTTAAGCTTATGCAAATACTGTACTACAGTAATACTCGAAGTTTCTATTTTGAATGATAATATTTTCTGTTGCTATTGTTTTGAGTGAGGGTGTGTGAGTAACCATGTGATACTTGTTTGCGAATGAGGCCACCTGGAGAGAAAAGAAGTTGCTACGATATAATATCAAAATGTTTGAACTAGTTAAAACTGGTTATAAAGTTAATGGATTCATGTACTAAGATACATTATACTCTCACAATATTAAATTAAAACATCAATCATTTAAAAGGGGCAAATTAGAAATAGACTTCAAAGACAGATTGGACTAATTTAATTTTTGCTGATTTACAACAAAAATCCATAAGTTGATTACCAACCAATTTAAGGATCCATGCAGACTCCGAACGTTGTTGATTATATGCGTCTCCATAATTAGCTATGAAAAAAAAAAACCAATACTGTATTGTTTTCCATGCCAAAACCGGCGTCTCCATAAGTGGCTATGAAAACAACAATAGTTGCCAAAACCCAGTGTCAGTGTCAGTGACCAAAACAAAAAAATTGACTTAAATTTTCTCCATATAAGCTTTAAAATGATCCGTCAGTTACTGGAATTAACTTACTATTGCCAAAGTTAAGAGTAAAATTATTGTGGTTTCTTTGTACTAAAATATACAATACTGCCACTTCCGTTATGCTAATTACTCGGTTTAATATTTAGCGAGAGTATGCTGGATGGCAAGCCTCATGTTTTCTAATTTTCAAATGAAAGCAATAAAATATTTATATTATGAAGAAAACTATTCAAATATTAAATTGTTATTGTTGAAGTTTATTAGTTTTTAAACAGATAATGTTATTGTTTGTTAACGTTCAACCAGTATTCGTTAAATTCTCGTCAAAACTGTCACCAGGTTTAACGCTTTCTGTTGTTAAAATGGACATAATTTAATGCATATTTTACTACTAATGGATAACATCGATAAAGTAATGCAATAACTCAAATTAACTCCTCCTAACAGGAAACAAATAATAATTTAATATGTATATTGCTTGCCCAGCTATTTAGGGTCTAGTTAGGCAAGAATATTGCTGTGCGCCCTCAAATCATGCAATTCAGGGTGAAACAGAATTTATAGTCAGGTACAGCGAAAACGAATAGGCCTATGTGCATGTGACGAAATAGGTTCAGATCAGAACATTCGTAAGAAGTTGATATTGTGCTGCTCGAACTTAACACATTTCGCAACCTTACAAAATACTAACAGATACTTCATCTAGAATATTTTAGAATCAGTGTTGTATAGGAGTGCTGACGGATCCAGAGCAGAGGTAGCGCCAGGATTTGCCGACGGGGGGAGGGGCCGATGCCCCAACGGGAGGGGGGGGGGGCGATGCCCCGACGAGGGGTCAGATTTCCCCGACGAAAGCAAAGCGGGCGTGGTCGAGCTTCGATTAAAAGTTTTCGAAACTGGTCCAGGGAGCGAAGTCCCCGAAAATTTTGACAATTTAGAGGTTTCATTATTTTAATCGATTTATGATTCTACTAATATGTAGAAAATACATATAATTTTTTTTCTCTCTCCGACGAATTGGCCCCCGGCCCCCCGCTGGCGCCACCCCTGATCCAGAGATGTCCGAAAGGGTGGGGGACCGAAAGGGAGCCGATCGAGTCAACTCTACGGTAGGGGACCACGCGAAATTGTTTTCTAGACGCCCGAAAATAACCTCTGAGGCGTTTTGGGCGATCAATTATTTCTTTTTCCTTCCTTTCTTTTTTTTTGTTTTGTTTTAAACTTTCCAAAAAAAAGGACGGGTGCGGAAACCCGGGCCTCTTAATTGGCCCCTGAGCTAGCTGACCAAAAAGGAGTGAAATGATGGATTTTTAAACTATTTTAATGTAGAGTACATTCACACCGAGTCCATTGTTCATGTCGGAAGGCCTACCGAACTGATCAGAAAATCAGAGCATTACGCGAGAATAGGGGCACTTTCGGTCCGGATCCGAGGTAAATGCAGCTAATCGTTTTGTTGATCGAGTTTCCAGTACAGTAGTTCATAAATATATGGTCTACAAATATTTTGTAGCAGTTGAGTGAATTCAATTTTCACTTTTAAACTTTCATCAGAGAGTACAGTAGGCCTATGTTTATACTACGCTTATACATTGTTAATAAACATTCCCCAGTCGGACAGCATCTCGATATTTGCTGCGAAGTAGCCAATTCATATTCTTGACAGCAATTTGACCTCTGAAAGGTCATTGTCAAAAAACAAGAGCCTAAGACGACTGAAAATCTGAGTTTCCTTCTTTCGTTCTGCCGGGTAAAATCAATTACTTTAGGCGACGTTTGTAGACTAACCTAAACGTACCAACGTCCGCATGTGGCGACGCTCGAGTATTACTATTCAGCGTTTTTACTATATTTCTAGGTTTCCTATTTCTACGTTTAATCGGCCCATGTCTCAGCCACAATATTTTGAGGCCAATAATATTTACGAACCCAGTTAAACTTATTTACTAGCCTATTTCAGCGTGCTAATTATTACATTTAGGCGACGCTTGTTGTAGACTGGCATACACGGTACCAACGCTCATTTTTACTATGTTTCTACGTC